TTGCTGGCAGTTGTGTTGAGTGGTGAGATGTTGGCCAAATTTCTGGGTCTTTTGCGAGTTGAGCTAGGGTAGGATGTGGCCTCTGTAAAGGTGGTTAGTGTCAGATGATAATAAAAAAATTTTTTTATCATAGTGAAATAAATCAAAAACGTAATATTTGTACGTAAAAATATTTTTTTTTACATAATAATTTTATTTTCATATTTCGTAATTTCTAAATTTTTCATATAAATCATCTTGACGATGTTTTCTTCTAAATTTAGAATAGGAATGGGCATTATATTCAACACGTGTATTGTCATTATTATAAGTTTGACTAGCGCTAGATGTATCTAAAGAGTCAGTTATTTTAAGTGGTTGTTTTGGCGGTGAAGTCCAATGAACAGTCTACGTAACAATAAAATTTATGTGCAAGTTAAAAAATATATGCTGTACATATATTATTATATAATCATATAATTTTTTAAATTATCAACTTACATGACCTTTTTTCATAACCATTTCTTTCCACATCTTATAAGGAATCTTAATTGATCCTGTACGCCACTTGTCATATTGGGAACGTTCGGTTTCGTCAGCTAGGATATTATAAGCTGTTGATAATTGATAAAATTCTTTTTTGGCCTTTTCTTTTTTAAAGATATAATTATTTTAGAATATGATTTAGAATTATTTATATTTAAAAATGTATTCGGAATTATCATTTAGAATGTATCTAGAATTATTTAGAATGTATTCAGAATATGAAAGAAGAATTAATGATAATCAATGAGTCTTACCAACTTTGTCTTTAACTTTGTCAGGATGACAATTTAATGCACGTTTTTTATATTCAGTAGAAATTTGTTCTGTCTATAATAGTAAATCTGATATTTCAATTAAATTCGAATATATTGATATGTAATTTTAAAATATAGTGTAATATAGTAAAAAAAATTATAAAACTTACAGTACAAGATGATGTGCAACCAAGTATCTCATATAAATTTTCATAAAATTTATCTTCATCATCTTTTTCAACAGAATTTATTGATTCAAGAATCGAATTTAAGTTCATTTTTTTTTGTGTTTCCAGAGGATTCTCAACTATTACATATATTTATACAATGGATCATGTGTGTATGCAGGTCAGATAAGAGTCATCGACATGCAAGATCCAAAGAAATGATTGCCACGTGATAAACAATGATAAAACCACTATAATTGTGTTAACCAGTACTCACGGTTAATTATTGTATCCTTTTATTATGTGAAGTGATAAATGATAATGTGTCAATTACCAATGAGCAAACTGTTTTGACACAGAAATTATGTCGAATGTGTTGTTGATTTAGTTGAGAGCTTATACATATGTGCCAAGAATTTAATAAAACAAACTTCTAAATAAGGCGAAATGGATGTATGCGTTTAATTTGACGTACGTATGTACTAAGAACTTCTCGATTGCAGATTGTGTTAGTAACTTTCTAAATAAAAAAAGACGTGTCACGAATAATTCGAATAATTTGAGAGGTTGTTAAAAAAACCAAATGTGTGAAAGAATATTTAATCCTCATTCATTTCTGCATTTTAAGAATGATTCAAGAATCACGGATCGACGTTTTGCCGTTATCATGATTTCGACCCTAATCTATCAGTGACTTAATTCATGATATAGATTTTATTATAATGATTTTTAAATCGACTGATAATAATTTGGAGAATCTTTTTATTTTCAACATTTATGTAATTTTTGAAGATTACGTAGATTCTTGAATTTTACTTGATCTTTATTCATTTAAACTTTGAATTGATCTTTATTGATATAATATACATCAAAAATTTTTAGTTTCACATGGACCGAAACAAAGATATGGTACATAGATCAACGATGGCATTTTCTATAGCTTTGGGTTTAATTCGGGCACATCAAAATTTAAAGATTTTATCGATAAAAAATTAAAAATTTGATAATGATAACGAATGTATAATAGAAAATCTTTCATAATAGATATTGTATGAGAATTGTTATTACTGTATTATTGTAATAAATTATACAATAAATTATACTACTTAAATATTTTTATGTATATACAAAAGAATATCTTTATTATTTTATCTTTATTTTATATTTACAGATTTAATCACTTCTACTCGTACAAAAAAATCATAATTCTAATTTTGACATAATAAACATATTGCAATGATTGTATGAAATAAATCTTAGATGCTATGGCATAGAACAAATATTAAAAAAAAACAAATGACGAATATAGCATATGAATTTTTTTTCTCAAAGTTCTCTAAGCTCTCTAAGTTGACATTGGCCAAAATAATATATCATCAGCATCTTTCTTCCATTCTGAATCCAACAACGTTATATCACCATTTTTTTCACCATTATGATGACTATGTCGATGACAATGCTTTCTTTTATGAAATTTATCTCTACTACCATAATGATGACTTCTACTACCAAGAACAAAGTTCGTATTAGATAATGGTATAGGAATTCCTTTTGTTCTTAAATTTACAGGTTTTGTATTAACAAGGATACCACGTTTTGGTTGAGGTAATGATTTTGATTTGTAATAACAAATTGAAGTAGTGTTTGTTGAAGTAGGAGTTAATATTGATATGGCAGTGGAATAATGTGAAGTAGTAGAGTGACATGAAGTTGGAGAATCACTCGAACTAGTAGTTGCAGTTACAGTTGTAGTTGTTGTTACAATTGTAGTTGCAGTTGTAGATACAGTTGTAGATACAGTTGTGGAGGTAGTAATAGCTTTTCCATCAGGTAATGCTGCGGTCAAAGTATTTGAATCATTCGACGTAATATTACTTTGAGTCACAATTTCTTCAGTGCGTTGAGAATGATGATCAACATTTTCTATATCATTTTCTAAATCATTATTTTCGTCATATTCATCATTATTTTCATCATATTCTGAAATATCATCTTCCTCATCCTCTTCATCCTCCTCATCATCTTCAACGTAACCATCATCACTATCCGAACCATCACACATATCACATTCAAAATCAAAATCATCATCATCGTCATCATCTTGTGGAGACGTTATAGGCACTGGAGAAAGATGATGATTTGTTCGTTTGTGTACGGCTTTTGAAGGTTCAGCAGTAGATACATCAGGTTTTGAAGAATCATTATTCAAATTTGTTGATCTTTCACGAACTACTAACGGGCAATTACCAAACTTTAAGACTTTTTTTGTCAAATTAGTATTAGTTTCATTACTCGTTGTAGTCGTATCAGTTGAGGAACCAAATTCACGCTTTGTAGTGGTTACATTAGTTTCGATGGTAAGATCGCAAGGTTTTTTTATCATTATGGGTTTTCCATGTAAAGCTTGATTAATATCCTTTGAATCAACATTTTTCTTCAACATTTCGGATAATAAAGATTTTTTATTTGTTTGATCAATTTTTGAATTCATGAATTCACGTTTCGTGAATTCTACGGTCGAGTTCGTATTTGAAGCTAATTGTAAAACTGATGATAAAATGGATTGAACAATGCGAGAAGATTTTGGATGAGAAGCAGTTGCTGGAGAGAAGTTGCTTAAGGAAGATTTATTGGACTTTGGCTTTAATCTAAACAAAAAAAATATATAGATAAATTAATATCGATATTTTTATATAATATTTATTTTATTTTTATTTTGTTTTGTTAAAATAAATGATAATTACCTTGGTGATCCACACCCACCAAAACCTAATTGACTAGTTATCACACAAGGTGAAAGAGGTTGCATTTTTAATTTCGATTGTTATTTGACAGTTTCTTGAAAAAAAAAAAGTCGAAAAAATTTTATCGAGTTTTTATAGCAAAAAAATTCTAGGAGTCAGATGTTATTCCAAAATAGGTACATAATTTAAAAAAAGGATATGAGGGATTTAATTTAATTTAACGTTAATATATTTTTTTAAAGTATTAATAAGATAATATATTGACAGATATGACAGTATGATGTAAAATTATTTTTTTTTTTAACGTTAAATTTTTTGTTCAGGGACGAAAAAATTTATCTACAAAATTTATAGTATTTACAAAAATTGATCAAAGCATGATAACGATAGATTATATAAGATAAACAAACTTGTTAATATAGGATTATTTTAGTTAGGATTTATAAATAATGATGATAAATGATGGCGGGGATACACGACTCACGGCCGTCAATGTTACCACTAATGGTTATAGATTTTTTGGGGATGCATAAAAGCCCTTGACAAGAGTACAGCATGGAGTTAGCTCACATGAACATATACAGACATGAAACATTAAAATAGGTGAAATAAGGAGTCATTGATATGATTTGTATGGTACAGTTGATGTAAACAAGTATCCAAACTTGAAAATTTTGAAATCAAAAATTTTATTTATAAGTTAGATTCGATGACTTAAAAAATAACTTTTATCGAAATTACTTTTTTATGTAGCGTATTCTAGTTAAATTCTAATTAAATTCTAATTAAATTTTTGTTGTTTAGTTTAACTGTTAAGTTCTAAACCGAAAACAATAAAGATAACCCCCACATTCCTTAAAACACCCTAAACTAAATCCTACCTATTATTCACGTATGATGATCTTGTGCAATTATCTACCAATTTTTTGTTTCTTATTGACATAAGTTTTTACATCACAATAATACTTTTATGTATATGTGATACTTGTTTTATATAGTTCCACATGATCTTTAAACGTTCGTGTCAACCTTATGACGTAAATGATGTATGTTTTTATCAGTTATTTAATTTTAAGCGGTTGTATATTTTCAAAGTATTTGCCTTTTTAATTTTGGTACAATTACTTTTTTAGTACACATATCTTTAAACGGATTTTCGTTTCATATTCATTTCATATTTTCATGCTTCAGTTACTGCTTCAGGTCCCTGGTTAACTGATGATCTGTTTACGATGAATAATGAATCCTTTTTTATCCTTTTATTCCATGAGTTCCTGTTTTTCTTATGTAATATATCCATTTACTTTTTAAACTTTTTTAGTTATCTTTCTAGTTATGTAAATTACGATTGAGATCCCTCTACATTTGATTTTTAACTTGATATACTACTTTTGTAAAGATTAAACCCAATAAATCTAACACTAACTTTTTTCAGTTTTAAACTACAAAATGATTTGATTACACACTTATCTATATCATCATTTTTGAATTTATCGACAAGATATCGATACTATTGAGATTATTGAGATTATTGAGATTATTGAGATTATTGAGATATATTCTGTATATAAGTATGAAACGTGCCCTCTGTGTGACTCTGTGTGACTCTGTATGACTGTATGACTCTATGACACTAATGTGCGACGCCGAATGTTTATGTGCGAAATTTTTGTGTGGCTAGTAATGTAATGTTGTTAAAAAAGTAAAATAATTTATTTTTAAATTTCTTAGTAACCAATTAAATCGGTCATTACTTTTTTTGCCATCATTCAAAAAATAGCGAACAAGATGAGTGGCGTTTGTATTACCTTCGGTATTGTTCGAATTTATTTATTTTTTTTTTTATTTACTAGTAACAAAAATTTATAGGCGTTAATGGTGCGTAAGTACATATATACACCACGCATGTATGTAATCATACACAATATCATGAGCAGTATCATAAGATCGTCACGAGTAAAAAATTGTGTGAATTTGTCAAAAAATTGAAACTTTTTTTTATTAATAAAATTTAGACAGAAAATAAATTTTGAATCTTCAAATTTTTTTTTTATAGCTTGTATATTTACATTATACAATTTGTTTTTTATTGATTGTTCTTGGTTAAAACTGATTTATATACTATATAATACTGTATATTGTATAGATAGTATTTAGACTTAAATGCATCAAATAGCTATTGTTAAATATATATATATATTGTATAGAATCGGGTTTAGTAAAATGCATCGTTGCTATTGTTGAATTTTATTATTGGGTTAGAATCTAATTTGTTTAAATGCACCTTTGCAATTGTTAAAATTTATTACCAGTATGAATCAGGTTTACTAAAATGCATCCTAACTATATATTGTAATTAAACAATTAGTACTTGGTATATATTTCAAAGCAAAATAATAAAATTCTTAGTTCTCTCTCTTTTAAAAAATTTTATTACTGTAACAAATTTATAATCCAAGTAATTTTATGTAAAGAATATCAAAGATGTTTAATACAATACCGCAGGTGCTATTGTATATCTTAAAACTAGCTAAATGATCCATATTTAGTCTTAAATAAAAACGTTTTAAGCTCTTAAAAAAAATCGTTATAACTCTAATTTTAACTTTAATCTTATTTTAATTACAATAAAAATACTGTATATAAAGTATATATATATATATATATACTATATATATATATATATGTATGTACAGTATCTATTATTTATTATACCATTAATACCTGATACAGTTAAATTTTTTAGTATAATAAAAAAAAAATTCTTTACAAAAAAAATTATTTAATTTCAAAATAGACTTTATTATGCGTAGTAAAAAATAGATTAAACTGAACTAATTTTAAGCTAAAAAAAGTTATCTACATAGACCCTTTAATATCAAAAGCATATGGTTGATTTTGTTGCCGATATCGATACGCGGAGCTGCGTATCGGAAATAAAATTTGTGTAACTGGTGACATCTCTCGAGAAGTTTACAGTAATCAAACGCGACAGTGAACTTTCAAGAACAATTATAACGAAAACGTGGAAAAGTTAAAGTAATTTAACAAAAAAATAGTTTACAATTCAAAATTCTACTTGTAAAACTACCTCTGAAAAGTTTTTCTTGCGTAATTTTACCCTAAAAAATGTATTATCCTTTCCTTTACTACGTAAAAATACTACTAAAATACACTAAAATACCAAAAGCTTATAATATTTTCTCACTCTAACCTCGAAATAGTAAATTAAAGTTTATAATACGTATACGTAATCTGTGAAAAATATCTGCTTTTACATATATCAGATATACACTGTATTATCGTATTATATCATATCAGATATCAACCTTTAGCGATAATTCAGTAATTACTACATACTATATCACGTGCTATGAAAGACAATTAATAGTGTGTGACGTAAGGCGCATATAATTAAATATTCAAAATCTTTGACTCTCTTGTCTACTAAAGTCATGTCACCACCGCGTCGCCATAGTTCACGAAGTAGCAAAAAAGCTATCGCTGATTTCGGAAAACCATTTATTAAATCTTCACGCGCACAAAGTACTGTTACTGTTAAATATACTGAAACTAAACCGAAAGATGCCTGGGCTACTCTCGTGCCCTCGGGTGAGACGTGTAATAGTCTAATACCTATCTATTTGACTGACAACACTCATTACTTGGGAGCTCAACCTGAAGATGGCGTTTTTAAGGTAACTAACCTTATATTTTTTTTATTTTATATCTATAAATATATGTTTCTTTAAATATAGACACGCTTAAATTTATTTTTTTCTCTTTGCTTAGAGTCTATTAGCTGACCCTAGAATTGACGTGCTACACTGTGCTATTTTTAAAGTATGTCTGATATTTTATTTACTATATCAATTGGATTATTAATATAAATGTAAATATATATTTTTTAATTTTTATAATTTTTTTTTTTATAATTCCTTTTTATAATTCCTATAATTTTTATTAGGAATATAAAGAGGCTACAGGAACAATCGTAAAATTACAAAATTTAAGGTATTCTTTTTATATATGATTTATTTTATATAATATTTGGAAAAATTTTAATCCCTATTTTTTTTATAGTCAAGATGGTGCTGTTCGAGTTTTAGATCGTGATTTAATATCTAAACAATATGTCGAATTAAAAGATGGCGATTATATACGATTTCCTTCTTCAAAAGGTCATTGGTATATTTATAGAATTGAGATCGATTTAAAATCAAAAGTTATGTTTCATAGTGTATACGATATTAAAGGTACTCTTGGAAAAGGTCATTTTGCTGAAGTAATGTTAGCTACTCCTAAAAATTCTATCGCTGGTAATGAATCAAGATTACAAGAGTATGCCGTAAAAATTATTGATAAAAGTAACGTGACGAAAAATTTTAATGAACAAAAACTTCATGATGAAATTATAGTAATGTACAAGATTTCTCATGTAAGCTTATAATTTTTTTTTCCTGACTTGTTGATTCTTGATTTATCTTTTTTTTTGATTCGTTTATTTATTTATTTATTTGTTTTTTTTTTTTTAAATAAGCCTTCATTAGTACGCATATATAACTTATATAATGAGAATGATAAAATATATCTCATTATGGAATACGTCAAAGATGGTGAATTCTTTGATTTTTTATCACAAAAAAAGAAATTATCAGAATATGAAACTCGTATCGTTTTTAAACAATTATTCGATGCGATAAAATATCTACATGGTCATCGTATTGCTCATCGTGATCTTAAACCTGAAAATATTCTCATGTCAAGTGCTGCAAATCTCGAGGTTAAAATTTCGGATTTTGGTTTATCTAAACTCCTTGGTCCTGAACATTCATTAATGAAAACTTTATGTGGAACACGTCTTTACGTCGCTCCTGAAGTCATCGCTCGAACTCCTAATCGAAGTTATGGAAGATCTGTTGATATGTGGAGTCTTGGTGTTATTCTATATGTCTGCCTTTGTGGAAATTTACCTTTCGCTGATGAATTGGGCCCTCCAGGTCTCCTCGATCAAATTAGATTAGGAAGATATAAGTTTCATTCCCCTGCATGGGATAATATTAGCGATAATGCAAAAGATTTGATTAAGGGTTTGTTAACTGTTAATGTGAACAATCGGTTAACAGTTTCTCAAGCCTTGGCACATCCCTTCATGCAGGTAAAAAAAAATCTTGTTATTTAATGTCTTATTCTTATCACTTTACTACCTTACTACGCGTAATTTAAGTTTACTTATTCTTTCCTTTTTTTTTTTTGTTTCATCAGACACTACCTTTACCTCGATCACCTCGATCTATTTCAAATGCGCCAATTTTGACACGAGGGAATGAAAACATCCCACAAACTAGAAGGAATCAAAGAAGTTTCTCACGGAGTCACACGTACACAGAGTCTACTGAAGCAGATTTTGCTGATGATGAAGCATCATTCGTTACTGCAGGCACAGTTGAATTATCAAGTTCCTCCTTACAATCAGCCGACTCCGATATTCAATATCTTTATGAAACTTCTTATTTTTCGATTGATTAATTCAATTCCTCATTTTATAATCATAATAATTTCTTTTCTTAATCGGTTTTACTTATATTGCTAGATTCACTTTTTTTTTTTTTTTACACTTAAAAAATATTCAATTTTAATGACTAGCTTTAGAACGATAATTTTTTTTTTTTTTAGCTATTTTGAAATTACTTTATAATGTCGTATTAGTGTAATTTTATTAATCAATTTTCATACTACATTAGTACGTACATTAATTAAACGGGGTTGCTTTTACTCAATTTTTGCATGAGAAAATTATTTCACAACTCGCAATATAAATCTCGTTATATACTGACGTGGTTACATATTTTGATGCAATTTTTCTGGTCACTACTATATCAGTCACACGATTTGTCACACATATATAATATGTAAATTTTTTATAAATGAAATTATAATAAAAAACATATAAAATTACTATGAACTTTGCAGCTTTGATGTTTTTTGATCTACATAACTTAAAATTAAATTCTGTGATTATATAGAGCATGAAGGGGAGAAAATTTTCACTCTATCTAACAAGTTACAGCTCTGTTATCTTTGCATATTTTAAAAATGTAACTTTACCAAAAATAAAAATTTACCAATTCTAAAGTAATGTTTATATGTAAAAGCATGTTCTGAACAACTTTACTTAGAAAATAAAAGCAAGATTATCTTGATAGAAAAACCAGTTAGCTATATGCTAAAATTAAAAGTTCTAGTTTTTTTATATGCAACTTTTTTTTTTATTTAGATAATTTTTTTCATCTTTTACAGTTTGCTAATATTTCTAATTAGAAAATCAAGCTCTAAATAATCTATATGTTGACCCTTGTATCTGATTGGCTATTACGTTTGTTGTATTAACTTTTAATCCTGCACTTTGATATTTTACAAAAAAATTCTTTTAATAATTATTAAATAGTGTAAGTTTTCAAATAAGCAGTATAAAATATCTAGTTTTGTTAATTCTATTTAATCTCTTACAATAAATTTGTTTTGCTAAAGTGAATAAAGTATTAAAAACTAGTTTTTTTTTTAGCTAATATAAAATATAAAGCTATATTGCTATCTCAATTTAGTGCAAAATCACTAAAAAAGTTTGTTATATTAAGACAAATAAAAATAATATATTATATTAAACTCTTTAAATTTAATACTGTTATAGAATAGATTTTTAGTATTAGCTTCTTGAATGTATAAATATTAGTATAATTATTATTTTATCGTATTGTTATTATCCTATATTATTATTAGCTTTATTTAGTATTTAGTATTGTTAGCCAAAAAGGGAAAACTTGTAAAAAGCGTACTTGACGCTTGACGCTTGATGCTTGACGCTTGATACTTGATACTTGCTGCTCTTCTTGACTGCCGCCTTTTTACCTACAAGGTTTTAACTTAAGAATAATAAAGGAAAAGAGGTATCTGTGGATGTAGATTGGATTTTGCTAAATAATAGATTCAAAAGAAAATATCTAGGTAATGTTTTTTTTTTCTTTATTTCCCTTTTTTTTTTGTTTTTCTTTTTTTTTTTTTTTTTATTCTCTAGCATAAAAGTCTCAAGATGCACTTTAGTGAAATAAATTTGGTTTGGCTATATTGTCTCTCTTATAATCCAGATAGTAAATTGAATACTTATATCACAATGGTTTTAGGCTAGTAGCTATAAAATTTATATGATAACTCCTTATGAAGTGCGGTAGTTGGTTTCATTTGCTTTTGCTGGAATATTTTCCAGGAATAGTGGTTTATCTAATCAAATACTTTTATATAAAGTTGAGGTATTCATAAAATGTCTCTGCCAATAATTTTTCTCTTTTAAAACTTTGGTTATTAATAGTATATTTCGTGAATTACAAGAAACTCCCACTCATGTCAATAGTTAAATTTCTTTGACAAAAGAATTTTTTTTTAGATAAAAAAAAAATTAGTTCAAAAAATATCAAGTAGTTTTACCTTTGTATAGTGATACAGTAATTTTCATTTATGCATATTAATTATCATTTAGTCGATTTTGTAATTTTGTATAATACTGGTCCATTCATTTAATTGGCTAGAAAATGTCACGTAATAAGATCTTTATTGTATCGCAAGACATTTTATTATACCCATTTAGAAAAAACTTCACTATATCTTATATCGAGAGTTTACTAATAAACTTTATTATATCGAGCGAAAAATTAATAATACTGATTTTGTTTTAAAAAAATAATTCACTATAAGCCAATTTTCACTATATCGAAGGTTTACTATAATGAGAGTGACTTGTATAAGTAAAAAAAAAGAAAGAAGAGAAAGAAAAAGTAAAGCATCTATAATACAGTCAAACCTCTTTATAATCACACATTTGGGATACGAAAATGTGTGATTGTAGAGAAGTGTGACAGTTATAGAGGTCAAATTTATTATATTCAATAATAGTTCGTTTTTTAAAAAATATGCTCATAAAGAAAATGTGCTTATATAGGAGGTGACTATAGAGAGGTCAGACTGTATTAGAAATTTCATCACATGCTCTTTTTGACTGTTTTCTATAGCAGTCCTTGTTTGTTTGGCAAGCATTAACCAAATTTACTCATATGAGATTCTATTTTGGTAGACATGTTTCTAATTTGGAAGGGCCCAAACTACCATATTTGGTAGCATTGCAAAGCACTGATCTTTTGGAGAGAGTAAACAGAAAAGCTCACTTTTGTTAAAATTTCAAAAGACCAAAGAAGCATAGGGGAGAAGTACCAAAAACCCAAGAGTTGGTAAGAGTTATACTGTATATAATACTATATTTTACCAAGTATCTATTTCTATTTTCATATCTGTAGTATTTGATAAAGCTCCAGAAATATCCTACTACATCTTTGTTTAATAGTACTATAGCTCACCAAGATGCCTCGCTTAGATATCTGCTTGTTATCTTTTTTAACTCTATTTCAAAGAACAAAACACTTAGTAAATAGACTTTGTACCCAACAGTAGCTAGGTGAAGTTTTGTTTTTATAAAATATAATATATATGAAGTTTTTATAGTTTAGTTTTTTTTATAAAATTTTAGTACAAGAGATCATCAGGGAAAGTTGTTGTGATACAGTAAATTTTTATAGTAATATTTAGTGAAAATTTATTTGGTTATTTACAGTTTACATAAAATTATTTACTAAAAACTTGAAGTACTAGATTCAAAAAAGTGAAAAGAATTTAAAAAAAAATTAAATTCAAAAAGAGTAATAATATTAAACAATGAAAAGAATTAAAAAAAAAAAAAATTTAATCAATCTTTAATTATTGTGAAAATAATATTTATTTGGAAAATTTTTTAGCCACTTTAATTAGTAATATAATTAGTTTCATTTAATAGAAAAGCCTGTTTGTATTTATCTAATAAGAAGTAGATAGAGAAATTAGTAAATTTGATTTTTTATACATATCTAGATTTAAACCCAAACAAGTTTGTTAAATTTTAAATCAAACTCAGATTAAATTTATAATAATGTTTAAATTTGGTTTGAATTTGATTATTTTGTATTTGGGTTTGAGTTTGAATTTAAATTTTATAAAATGCATGATTTGAGTTTGGTTTAAGTTTGAAGTTTGATCAAACTCAAATTAAGACTAAAACAAATATAGGAACTTTAATACTATATTCTGAATTAACTATTAGATATATTTTAAATTTATCATACTACTTTTTAAACTAACTATTATTCTATGTTCTAAATCTAACTATTATAATATATTCTAAATTTAACTATTATACTATATCTTGAATTTAACTATTATGTAAAATTTTATTTTAACTATCTTGTTCTAACTATTATATTATATTCTATTATTTCTTAAACTATCTAGTTTGGTAAGCAAATTTGTCTACTAGAATAATTAGAGAAAAACTAACTCTCTTAAAAAATTTTTTATAGAAATATTACTCAAAATTGATTAGAACAACTTCTCAAAACACAAGTTATATAACAATTAGATAATTGTATTATGGCATATACTAAATAACTCAAGTAAAGAGTACAAATTAAAAAATATATAATATGCTTTGCCTAAATATTTTATTGAATTAAATTACTTGGATCACTTTGTAAATTTGGCTTTAAAGTATTAAGATCCAATCAAAATAAAATTATTATATAATATGGGTACTTATTTATAATAAAATTTTAATTTATTAAAATAATTAAACTTATATTATTTACTATAAAAATCAAAACTATTTATTTGTTAAATTTTAAGGTTTTTTATATTGAAATTAATTTTTTAAATGCTTTTATTTATAATAAAACTAAGCACTCAAGAATTATATTCCAATTTTATTTCAATAATATAAACTAATTTGAGATACAATCCTACTTTGATTATATATCTAATTTTAAATATTTCATTAACATCTTCTACCTTTGCAAATTTTTGCTAATAAATAAATACTTTATATTAGTCCAATTCAATCTTTATTCTATTTTGATAACAATATACAAGGTTAAATTATTACCTATACCTGCAGGGTTTTTTTTAATATCTTTATTTTTTATATAAAACTCAAAAAAACAATTTTGAGTTTTATTGCAACAAAGAGATATATTATACATAGCATACTAGAGATTGCTTTGCTTTGGCATTTTATGATTTAAGTCTAAATTTTTTTTGCTTACTCACCATGTATACGACAAACATGACTCTTGATCTTGTTTTCACTCTTGGAAATAGTTTTCAGATACAAACCATTAGTTTGAAAGCTCAAAATGCTTTGTTATTTTTGACTGTTTTTTTTTTTTTTTTTTTTAGTTACTTTTCTTTTCATTTCTTTTTTTAATCCACCTCTTAGCTAAATTTCTCTAATATTATTTGCAATATTTATAAATCTCAAACAAGTTTAAAGCAAAATTTTATTTACTCTTGTGTTGAATCTAAGGTCAAGACGATTTAATATAAATTAACAATTGTAGCATCTAGAAGCCAAAAAAGCAGCAACATCCAATTTCTTCATATCACTTGTTACATATTAT